TATATCTATATATAGATATACAGATATGAGAATGAATGTGACCATGAAATCACTAGGCACAGAAGTAAAGTTTCAAGCTAAAGCTTTGGGTGGAGTTTTTACCTATTCAGGAAATATTACCAAAATATATATATTATCTTAGAGAAGACTTCCTTAGTATTTCTTTAAATTTGCCGTTTTTTCTGTAACAAGTTTGTTTTGCCTTTAGTAATCACATGAATGATCAGCACATGATCAAGAAATATTCAACAAGAGAAATGCATTTAAATAAATAAACTCACTGAAATAAACACCATTCATTAATTATTTTATTATTTACTACTAACATGAAGCATCACTTTCTTCAATTCCAGGAGGGCAAACAGCTATTTAAAACAGGGGGGGGGGGGGAAATGCCCCAAAATGTATAAATGAAGCAGCCCAGAAAGTCTCAACGAATGGGCTGGCTGAGTAGAAAGGTTTTCATCTGACACTGGTTGTCAGGCTGAACATGAACTGCATTTGTCTGTGGAAGACATTCCAGAGGCAGAAACAGAATATTCTAGTCAAGAGTAAGAAATTAAAGATGCCCTGTCCTGTTCACAAAAGAGAAGAAAACTGGAAAACATGTGGGGCCACTTCTCTCTGAGGGTATCTGCCCATCCTACTAAGTTAGAAAGGGTGGGTGTGCTCCAGGTCCCCTCCCTTAAATGTCACATGATGGGACCTTGGAGGCACACCTTCTTGGTGACCACCCCAGCTCTTTGGAATAGTCTCCCACCTGAGATCGGAGAGATCCCTACCCTTTTAACTTTCTAAAAGACCACTCTCTTTCCCCCAAGCATTTGGCTAGGATGGGGGTTGAGCTGGGAGGCTCTTTGGTCTGGCACCTGGTGGGGAGGGTAGTTTTGTTTTTATCTCTGTTTTTATTGATTGTTGTGAGCTGCCTAGAATCATTATATGAGATAGGCAGCCATATAAGTTCTATAATTAATTGATTATTAAGTTAAACATTAATTAAAATGGGTTCATGGGGGAACTGAAATTGTTGAAAGCACCTGGAGATCTAAAAAAATATCCAGTCCAAATATTTCCTGGGTTTCCTTCTTTTTGAGGAAAAACAGTTCCATGAAGGGGGCCAATTTGTGCACTTGTGATATGGGTCTCTTTCTTTGGGAAGCCAATGCTCTTGTGGGCAGAATAAAACAGACGGGGAGGTTATCCTAATACGTATTTGTGTTTTAGAGTGCAAGTAGAACAAAGCTGATTTAATGAATTGTTTTTAGATGTCTGAAGATGCTTATTCATGTATTGATATCTCCAAAAAGCCTCCTCTCCCACTTCAGATGTCAAGCTCTAGCACAACACAGTAAGTTAATTGAAATCTATTTAGATGATGATGATGATGATGATGATGATGATGATGATGATGATGATGATAGAAAGAAATATATATTCAATCATTTGGTCTTTTCAATTATTTCTGAATTATAATCTGGGATTGCCTCCTTACCACCTGGAAAATTGGGGCATACTTTCAGATTTTGAAGTGGAAGCAAGGGAATTTCAGAAGGATGCTACCATAAAGAACAAAAGCCAATCCTTGGATATTTAATAGAATTATTATAAAGAGAATTTCATGAGCCTTTTTCTGGTTGTTTTTCTTTTAAAGATTTCATTATAAACAGAATAATTATTTGTGGTCTGTAGTATGACATGGTATGAATCAATGTGTCAGGCCCAATTTAATCACTAGTCCTGTTGTGCCTCCTATCAAATATTTAGATGGGG